TTACCTTGCCGTTTATTCGGTGTTATTTGCTTACTTTACTTCCTATGTCGACAGCAACTATGAGTTTGACACTAAAATACAAGAATCATTTTCTCGAAAATTAGCCTAATGACTCCCACCTTTTTTTAAGTCAATATTCTTATATTTCCCAGAAGTACATTTTATTGCAAAATTAATAAATTCTGGACATTTTCGCAGAGGATTGGTAACATGTCTTCCTAATCGGGGTTTACATCGTTATTTAAAAGTTGTTTTATATTGTTCAACATTTCACAATACAATACAATACATACAAACTATATATTACTTATTTTTGGTGTTGACTACCGTAGACGCAAAGAAATAAAAACATACCGACTGGTCCCAGAGTGAGTGCAGAGATATTAATTCACATTATGTACTGACTTGGGGAGTCTGATCTATTGCTGTTTCTGGGGAGTCTGTTTTCGCGATGTGGACGGTATAAGAAGCTTCTTAGCAGCTGCTGTCTCTAATCGAAGCGATGTTGAGTCTCTGAGATTGTTATCATTGGACGATTTCCACCAACGTAACATGACATGATAGTATGAAAGAAAAACTGCATTTCAACAACATGCAAGGTACGTTACTTATTTCCTTTCTCGTGTCTATTGTAAAAACTTTGGCATTCTTAACGGGTCGTTCAACTAAAGTGGACTCGGCTTTTATCGCGCATCAATATTCGCTTGAAATATGTTTGCTATAATATTTCAATGCTCCAATTTTAAATTCGGTGTTATTAGACTCGACGAGCTCCGCTTAGACGAGTAGGAATTCTTCAATGAATAACTACACTCAAGATGGTTTTTGAATTGAACCTTATAATATAAACTGGTTGCGCTCAACAGAACGTTCGAGTTCTTAAAAAAAGATATATAAATCCATTTTTATGGGCATCCCTAATGATTTATCATAAATCATGTCCAACGTGTGTTAAGTGACATCGACTATGTTTAATATCGTACCAGGGGAGCGCGTTGAAATAATTCTATCTTACAACGGTTGCGACAATCTGCTGTGGGTCCGATAAACACGACTGCACGGAGTGCGACTTTACATGATGGCAGCGTAGATCACGAGCGGTGTGTGCGTGTGTGTGTGTGTCTATTGCGACAATGTCGTGACATTTACAAGCGGAATCTTCATAAATTTTGCATCACGCGGCCCATGAAAATGAGAATTAGATCGTTATCAACAGGGCCACGACGTGCAGGGAATTTATATTAAATAGAGGAGTCGAAAATTGATTTATGGTGTTAAAACAACCGTGGACTATGTATGTCTTTATTTTCATGTATTTCCATTTACATAACCACTACATACACATAGTTGATTATATGTAGACTAAGTACCTATCTGTGCATGAAGCCAATGTGGTGCGATGTGATGTGGGCGGACTGTGTTACGGAAGTACGCCTCCTATGTAACTTCTTGTTAGCCGTAAGCTATAAGAGAGTGTACAATTGCTCAACTGTTTTATTTTGCCAGTTGTTTACTGAATCATGAGTAGTAAATAAGACCCCTTATCTAATCACGTGGTGATTATTGACAGCACTCCGTCTTATACTACATGTGGTAACCCACGGTGACAGTCGATGCTGTCATACTTTTACAGGTTTCACAAAGAAGCCCCTGATTTACGGATGTATCCATTTCCTGCATCATTAAAAATATACATAATAATATTATTATGTGAGTGTCTCCAAATTCGTCGCTTGCAACGATTAATCACGCTTATGTATTATTGGGGAGGACGGGATTTCCACAGACACGTGTTATCCTATCCTTATCAGCTTAAAAATGGTTTGCATAAATATGCATGGGAGCGATTATCCGTGTGTATATTCTACAAGATATCGTCGCACACATCTGTTTTTTACCCACAAATTAAGTAAATATCAGCCATTAAATGTTCGCGTTACGACTCGCCTTGTATGTAATTGAGCAACGAAGTAAATTCAAACAAGTCATGTGAAGATGACACAGCCCCCACTTGTCAGATGTGATTATATTTGGTTATGAATTATAAAGTCTGAATGTATATTTATAAAATCGGGTAGGAAGATTAAGTTGAAAATCAACATTACAAGGCACATACCCTATATCAACATATCAAGCAAGTCTATACCAAGTATGGTCTTATTTGGACTAATAATTCACAAGATATTAACAAAAATTTAAAATTAATTAAGTATGCAAATGAGTCCATTAATTAAGTTGAAACTCAATATTGCATAGCGCATATCTTATATTGACAGATAAAGTAAGTTTATAACAAGTTTGGTCTTATTTGGACTATTAGTTCACAAGATATTCAAAAAAAAAATCAAAATTAATTAAATATGCAAATGAGCTTGTTCAATTGAAACTCAATATTGCATAACATATATTTTATATTTTAAGTCTCTACCAAGTTTAGTCTGATTTGGACTATTAGTTCACAAGATATTAACAAGAATTAAAATTAATAATTAAATATGCAAATAAGCTCATTAATTGATTCCTTGAAAAAATAAAGTCTCAACGAAATCGGTCTAGCCATCTCCGAGAAATGACGATGGACACACAAGAATCGAATTAAGAATTAAAAATGGCCGCCAGTCGGCCATATTTGGAAGATAACTTCAAGCTTTAAAATGACCGGTCTGTCTGTAAAACGGGGTCAAGTTTCTGAATTTTAATGCATCCAGTCGCCCCGAGAAGTTGCACATGAATTTGCTTGATCCTAAACTGTAGAAGCAATTTATTTCGCTGGAGAAAATTATATAGTTTGCCATTTCCTTTATTAGAAATTATGCAGACATGGTTTACGTTCACTCATCTTGACAAGATGCATGACCCTTAAACCCCGGCATATGATGATTGACTAGGTCATGTAAACAAATATAGTTTCCACGTGTTGTATACGTACGCGGCATGGAACCATATCGTACACAACGCGTTGTATTCGTCCGCGGCATGGGACCCATTTCGAACCCATGTGGGAACGTGTATAAATTGTATACATCCACGACATAGAACACGACGCTTTGTGTATGTCCGCGGCATAGAACACGAAGCTTTGTGTACGTCCGCGGCATGGGACCATATCGTACACAACGCGTTGTATACGTCCGCGGCATGGGACCCATTTCGAACCCATGTGGGAACGTGTATAAATTGTATACGCCCATGGC